CAATTCATCCAATTAGTATGATGATTTACTTGATATTATATCTTTAAATGCACCATTAAGTGTAAAAGACAACAATTAGTGAGTGAGTCATGATTCATGTACCACCCCTCATTTCTCTCCTCATATAATTGGATTTAGTAGATTCACGGATTAGCTTTGGTGATTTATTCTGATGTGGTTTGAGATATTTGCTTAAGCGGGTTGCAATCGTTCAAAGTAGGGACTAAGAGAAATGAGGCTTTTGTGTTTTCTGTTTGTGTTTTCCTACTTCATGTTCATAGTTAAAATAACAATTCATCCAATTAGTATGATGATTTACTTGATATTATATTTTTAAATGCACCATTAAGTATAAAAGACAACAATTAGTGAGTGAGTCATGATTCATGTACCACCCCTCATTTCCCTCCTCATGTAATTGGATTTAGTAGATTCACGGATTAACTTTGGTGATTTATTCTGATGTGGTTTGAGATATTTGCTTGAGCGGGTTGCAATCGTTCAAAGTTTATATTGTTATGACAAATTGGAATATTGAATTATACATATGTTGTCTATGTAGAGAATGAATATGAGTATGATGTAAAAATAGCAATTTGTTGAAGGAAATGATGAACACGAAATTTGTAGAAACCGTTGAAGCACATTTTCTGCTTAACATTGATCCAAAATACAATGATCAACAACTAAGGGCAACAGTAAGTTTTTTTGTCTCTCGAATTGAACACATGGATTATTGCATTTTCTTAGTATATTTTTCAATCTATTTTTCGGTCCCATTTAACATAGTTTCAATTAGAAGTCTGATCACTTAACCTGAAATCCTAAAAATAAATTTGGTAATTTTGTATAGTAGTTTTTCAAATTGTGTATTTTCATTTTTAATAGTGAACCACAATTATGAAAAAATCCATTTTCCACAACATATGATTGATAAAAATTGTGTTGAAAAACTATTTTAATTAATTTACTATTAAATTATGACTAAATACAATTTTTAGCCAAACTTTTAAAAGTTTAAAGTTATTAGACTTTTTTTCGAAATACAAAGTATTAGTAAAATGTTTACTCCTAATTAGCAGCAGTTTTGTTAATAATGCTAATTTGATAACATGATGTTGAGTTTGAAGAGACACGTGATTGTCAACATTCAAAAAAAAGTTTTTGGAGGAGGGGTGAAGGTGACTATGAGAATTGAGTATTTTTTAATCCATCCAATTAGTAGTCTGATCACTTTAATTGCTCAATTAATTGAACACATGGATTGTTGTATTTTCTTAGTATAGTTTTCAATATAATTTTCGGTCCCCTTTAACATAGTTTCGATTAGAAGTATGATCACTTAATGTGAATTAGTAAATTTTGGTAATTTTGGACAGTATTTTTCTTCAAATTGTGTGCTTTTGATTTTTAACAGTGAACCAAATTCATGACAAAACCACTTTTCACAAGATATGATTAGTAAAAATTGTGTTGACAAACTATTCTAAGTAATTTACTATTTAATTATGAGTAAATATAATTTATTAACCAAACTTTTAAAATTTTAAATTGAAAGAGGCAAGTTGGAAGAGACACCCGACGGTCAATATTTCAAAAAAAATTGTATTTTAATTAAGAAGAGAGTTACAAAATTATTAACGAAAAAAGAAAATGACTAATATTTTGTCTCCATTAATCCCTATATCAGTTGCAATCAAAATCAGAAGGTGGCGGTTGTGTTGCACTATGTTTTTTGTTTTAATAATGATGGTTAAATAAAAGGGTTGTGCTAATTTGATTGGATTCCAGCAGCAATTAGTTCAACCTATTCCGTAGTTGAAGAAGTTGGAATTGGGGCTGAAACCAACCTAACTGTAAACAATGAAGCATCATTTACAAGTTGAATATTTATTAACAGCGATGACAGATCACTAATTTCGTCAAATTTTTCGGCTAAGTGTACATAATCCATATGTCAAGTGGGCAAAGAGATACACAATTGATTCTTTGTATAGGAGGTGAATACTTGCGCCTCAGGTAAAAGACCATGTAACAAATGGGCCTTGCCGACCTAATTGCCCCCCAAATCTATATACAATGATGACAATCTATAACAACTCCAAAGTATTGTTTGCATGTATATGAAGGGAAACCAAACAATGGCATTATTTGCTTGTTGCAGATAAAGAGAAAGATAACACAAGAAATCAACTTACTTGGAAATGTGATGGTTCTTTCTGCTTTATTGTCATCGACTAAAAATGACATGAACACACTTGATTAGTATAGGTAACTGTGTTGCTTTCTTGTCTGCTACACCCAGAGGAAAACAAATACAAGGCGTTTTCGGCTTAGAAGCGGTGTGACGCTGCTGAAGTGAGACTGATAAGAAATCTATAAATGATAGTTATTTATTTCCTCAGGCTTTTGCTACAAGAATGTATAGACATGTCCTAAACACATAAATTAGATTTTTTGTGGAATATAAATATAAATATAAATATATATATATATATATATATATATATATATATATATATATATATATATAGCGTTTGTGGTTGTGAGTGTGGCCGTGTGGGGTTTATGGAGATATGAACTTGTTGAAGTTAATGTATTAATTAGTAATTAGTCAAACAGATATGAACTCCCATTTTTCTAGAGTTGAGCTTGAATGAGTGAGTTGATGAGTGGCAAATTACATCTGCATACCCAAGTCATTAATGATACTTGTTTAGATATAGTTTCATATTTGCATAGCGTTAAATCTCGCGAGATTTTGGATATTTGTTCAACAATTATGATGATTTTTGTTAGGAAAACTTGACAACGCGCTAATGCTATAACGGTTGACATCATTGTCAATGCGTTACATATGAACGTTCAACAGATGCTCAAGGTATAATGTGTTTATGTCCAAACCCATTAAACTTTCATTCAAAGAGGCGTATAATATAATAATTTAAAATTAATTTTGGAATTCTTCAATAACTTGAGTTATTATAATAGTGAAATAATTTTTTATGCTTATATAATTATTATACGCACTATCAAATAAAATCTTGATCATATGTAAAAAAAAAGAAGTTATTGACCATATATTGAGCTTGAAATAATTTCACCAATCCCTATTCTTAACTTTTTATTAATTTCTTTTGTCCGCATCATCGAGATTGTAGGTTCACTAATTATTAAGGGGTCGTTTGGAGAACGAGATTTAAGGCGTGGATTTATTGAAACCGTAGATTTTGTAGAAAGTTATGTTTTTTTGTTGATTTTTGTATTGTGAATTTTAGATGTAGAGATTTCAAATCTCTAAAATCTATGGATATCAAATCTCTCATAATCAGAGAGATTCTATATCTTGATTTGTGAGATTTTTTTTCTTCTACTTTTTCTCTTTCGTTTATTTATTTATCATATTAAATATATTTACTAACAAAGTTTTTAATATTTCTCGAACTACTCTAAATTTCTATTAAGGATAAACATGTTATTTAATATAAATTTTTTATTTTTGTTTTCATTGAATGTTAATAATCACAGTTAACAAACAATAAACATTTTAAAATATATTTTCAACAATCCGAAGAATTAAAATCTTTAGAGTGTTGACAATCTATAGATTTAAACTCATATTCTCCAAACGATCCCTAAAATGTGCTGCCATTCTAGTTGAGACGGCCCCTAAATGTGTTGGCCATTCTAGTTGAGACACGAAAGATATTCATTCCTCACCTTTTTTTTTAATATGTTAGGTGTTAGCCAACACCTTTTGATAGTATTTTATAGAGAAATATATAGGTTCGACTAGGATTCTGTAACTAGCATTCTATTTAAACAAATTGTCTCATCTTGATGATTATTCTCCTATGTAAAAGTGTTATCATAGTAATCCAGATCCTCTAGACCACATTCTTCTACCACTTTGTTGAAGGTGTTTATACCTCATACATCAGGCAAATTATTCCCTCTTTTTTCTCCTCATAAGATAAGATTTGATTAAAATATTGCGAAAATTGTTCACGTATACTATTTCTTTGTAAAACAAGTAACAAATTAAGATCATGTAATGTAATCAATACAAGAAATATATAAGATTACGAAATCATGCAAATACATATGCAAAGCGTATGACGTCCTAGCTAGTCGACAAAATTCACTGTCTCTCCTTAAGGAATCTTATTCCCCTCTAGTACCCAAGGTTATGAAATGGTTCCTCCCAGGATAGAAAGGACGTACCTTTTTCCGGCGTAGCGCGGTACCTCAAACCCCGAAACCATCGAACCGGCGAAAACCACACTTGACTAGATTTTTTCTTTTGAAAAACAATGCAGAAAAATCACTTTTTGATTTTGGCAGGGTTTTGGTATGGGAAAAAAATCGTCCCTAAAAACCAGAGGGGTTAATTAGGTGCTATTTATAGAGAATGAAGGGGTGCTTACGAAGGGAGGCAACTCTTCGTATGGGTGGTTACACCCCAACCATTGCATTGGTTGGTTCAAAGTTCTCAATCATTGCATTGCGGTTCGGCCTATGGAAGTTGGATCGGTTGGTTCACTCCAACCGCCATATAAGTTCGGTTCGATTTGGTTCAACTTGGTTTGGTTTTGTCCATTTGGTTACACAAACCAATTTAACCGATTAACCACATATTACATCAAATCGATCGAATTCGATCGAGACCACGCCTTCCCACAACCTACCAACATGGTACTTAAAAAAATTCTCTTAAATCTTTCCCTCCATTCACAACCATTAAAAATCCCAACATTATAAAATACATCTGATAACTTTGCATATTAATAACATTGAACTTTTAACCCTTAATAAAAAGCAAACAGATACATGTGGAGCCAACTTTTTCAATCCTTAACACCACTCCAGACATTAAAAGCACTGAAAAGTAACATCAGAATAAAACAAACTAAATGAATATCGTAGCCAACCAATGCAATGGAAGAAGAAAAAAAGAGTCAAACATAATGATAGTAGTAATAATAATAATGGTAAGTGAATCAATAGTGAAAAGCGTAGATGTCACACTCCACGATCGCGTTTCCGGTCGTGGTATTAAAGGAATACGTTTTGAGATGAACCTTTCCACGTGCGAAGCCGAACACTCCGGTGCCCGCCGACGACCGGCATCTCCCTTGTCCCGTCGGCAAATATGGAGTTGTGTCCCAACACAGTGAGTCAGTGACGGTGCTGCCGCGGTACTCGCCGCCATCCGCGGTAAACACAAAGTTGAATAACTGCACAAAAGCCACCTCGCTCCTGGAAGCGACACCGTATAGCCCCTGAGCGCTCCCAACCGTGGTGGAGTTGAGCTCTGGGTCCAACGTCAAAGGGTTGTCCACCATGGTTAACCGCCCAAACAAATCGGCCGGGTCGCTGAAATCTAGAGGGCCTTTCGGGTTGAGAGGCAGGGCCGTAACGTTAGGGCCGGCGAGGAGGTTATGGTAGTAGAAATGGTTATGGGTCAGCTTCTCATTCTTCGGCGCCATAGCTTTTGCCGACAGTTTCGTCGAGAAAGGATGCGATGATATGATCAATCTAGCCTCGGAAAAGAGAATGGCGAAGAGGAAAATGGAGAGGAGGGAATAATATTGTTTCAGCAGCACTTTGGCCATGGTAGCGCAGCTGTGTACGTACGGAAATGATCGGTGAAATTAAGAATGACTTGAAAGAAGTTTCAGAATGAAAGTTTTCTATTTTCGGATGCTTGGACATGAAGTATTGATTTCCTCGATCTATTTATCGAAATGGGCAGGCAGCTGGCAGGATACTAGATGGTTGAATTTAGAAATAGCAAACCCCAATGCCGCTTAATTTTGTCGTCGCCGTCTAAAGTTCTTGTATGCATGGATTTGGGGTTTTTTTTTTTATCTTTGGTTTCGATCGCCGGCTAGTTAATCTATTGAGAGGTCCTTAATTAATAAATAAAAGGACTTTTACGATCAAGGAGAAATGCTCAAATATTTTTATTGCTATTTGTTATTATTATGTCGTTAATCAAAGCAGCACGGGATGAAAATTGTAATCAACTTGCCATTATTCCCGTAATCCAAATTGTGGCTTTCCATCATATGATATCCACCAATTGGAAAGGAAATATCTATTTTGGTTTTTTTTTTTTCTTCCGACTTTCTTCTCTGTTTCCATTTGTCCGTTTATGATCAATTAATTGGCTGATTCCCCGGTTGTTTATAGTTTATACTTTATATGTGGTGATTGACCACCTTTTTTATGTTTTAATTAATCATAATTAATATGCTAGTTGTGAACTTGTCACGGATCCAACCTGTATGTGAGTTTGGCAATAGTAGAGTCTGGTATAAGGATAGTCAAGTCTCAAACAGTGTTTGCCATGGTCACTTTTTTTTTCTTCCGTTTCATATTTGGTAGATTCTCTTTCTTATATAACTTAGCTAAAATGTATATGCTTGTGCTTTAATTAATACTTGAATTCAAAAAATGTATAATTCAGTTGGACTTGGATGTTTAATTATTAGCATGAATTGTTATAAGTTTTTAAAAAAAATATATTTTCATAACTTTACTATTTTTTTATTGTTCATCAAATAATAAATGTTTCAAAAAAGTTTTTATTTAATACTTTTCACTACCACTGCGGTTGCCATCAATTCCAACACCACCACCTGCCACCAAATTACATATTAACGTTCGGGGAATACTCAAGGTATGATGTGTCTATGTCCAAACCCATTGAACTTTCATTCGAGGGGGCGTATAAGATAATAATTTAAAGTTTATCTTGCACCTCTTACACAACTTGAGTTATTAAGGTGAAATGATTCTCGACACTTATATCATCATTGTACACACTATCAAATGAAATCTTGATCATATGACAAAAAAAATATTGACCATATATTGAGCTTGAATAATTTTCACCCCTGATTATTAAATTTTTATTAATTTCTTTTGTCCACATTGTCTAGATTACTGACTCACTAACGATCAAACATGTTTATTTTTATTCTAGTCGACGTAGGGAAGATGCTGATATGGCGGATTAGGTGAATCCCTGAGTTCCAAAGGGAAGATGGTTTATCAATGATCAGTAGTTGATGTCAGGGATGTGGGTTGGATACGGTCATTTTTCCTAACGGGTTGTGAGATTCACAATCAAGGGCGATTTGGATATGAAAAAAAAGAATTTATTAATTATTTTTGTATTAATTACACATTAGGAATTAAAAACCCATATTAAATACATGTTTTTTAATATTTAAATCCTACAATTAATACACTTATATCTCTCTTTATCTTTTTCTTCCTTTTCCAACGGCCTTCTCCTATCAGCATACTTTTTTTCGGTGAAATCCTTCAATCAGACTCGCTCCGACCACCTGCAAAAAAGTATCACTCCGTCAGTGTCCTGTTGGTACACTACCAGTGGTAGTGGTAGCGTACTAGTATCACGGATAGCGCTACCAGTGGTAGCGTACCACTAGAGAATAACACAAGAAAACTAGATATGGAATCTGAAAAATCCCAGATCTGAAAAAAGAAAACAGGGGATGAGGAAAAGGGAAGGCATGGGAGAGGCGTGGTGGGAGGCAGAAGCGATGGTGGTGGTGGGTGGCGGTGGTAGCAAGAAGTGGAGGCGGCTCCATTGTCGGATGCAGCGTGAGGTGGAGGCGGCCCCATGGTCGAAGGCAGCAGGAGGTGGAGACTGAGGTGGCAGCGGCGGCATGGAGAGACGGTGGTGGCGACATGGAGAAATGGAGGGAGACGGCGACGGTGGCTAGGGTTTTGGGTGGGAGTGAAGAGAGAGGGTAGAGAGGAGGGAGAAGACATGAGAGGAGAGGAGAGTGGGGCTTTTTTTGTTAATGAAAATGAATTATATAGAAAATGAAAAAGGTAATTATGTGGTTAATTTTTCATTACAACAATACATTTCGTTTAATCTTAACTATCAATTTGACAAAGATAAGAGAGAGATAAGAGAGAACGTATTCAATGGCTACAAAGTGGGCTATGAGACCTTAGTAAAAGTGACCGTATCTCATCCCTTCAGTGATGATAGTCCATGACGATGTGAAACATATGAATGGAAATTATAAAAGAAGTTCTAAGCTTATAAATCAAGTTTTTCTTGATGAAGAACTTATCGATGGGATGTAATTCGGACAAGGAGCCATGAAAAAAATCAACCACAACCATGAATTTGGTTAAAATGACCAACCTCTGTGTCTATATAGACCATAGGAAGAAATAGATCGACCTGCTTGCAAATAAAATAAGGAAAAATTGATCAAACACAACAACCGAAACTTATAATAAGACACTTTTCCCCCCCATAGAGGTATGATGAAAACATTACCTAAGACATTGCTGGAGGATATATCGGCTCTGGATAAGGTGTATAAAGTATAAACTTAGCGTGCATAATTGTAAGTAATTAAATTTGGACATTTCATTTTAAGTGGTTGTAGGTTTAACAGTGGAAGAATTAAAGACATTTTATTTTTTTCTAGTTTTGTTAATCGAATCATATCTTCTTCATTCTTACTTGGATTTCAATTTTTTTTTTTTCACAGATGGAACGAGTTCATTGTGCTCTACAAAATGAGACCCATTTTCAATATTTTTGATAATTTTTTATGCCTCTCGTTACCAACTCCATACCATATGATATCTCCTTCATTTTAAGTTGTTTTTAGAAATTTTTGCACAGAAGAAATGAGTTAATCATGATATATGAGATCTAAAAATTTCTAGGTGAAAAAATTTCATACCTCTCATTACCAACTCCATACCATACTATACCACCTGGTATGGAGTGATATTTTTCATATCATATGGTATGCTCTTATTTAATACCAGTCAATACCATATGGTATAGACTGGTAAAATAAAATGACTCAATTTTTTTTGTATAAAAGTATATCAAGGTGGATATCATTTTGAAGAGCACAATTTATCTGATCTAACTGTGAAAAAAAAAATTGAATTCCGACTTAAAACGAGCGAGAAATCGTCTATTATAATTAAGGGAAAAAAAAAGGGTTTCCAGGAGAGAGAAGGGCGCTGATGTGGCGGATTGGGATTGTGTTATGAATGGTTACTCGTCACAAAGTTATGCATGGGATTGGGATCTAAGGGGTCATTTGGATGCAGGTTTTGGGTGTGGGATTTGGGCACAATCCTACATAATCTGGGATTTTATTAAAATCACTTGTTTGGAAAGCAATTATATGATAAGAGATTTTAAATATTAGAGATTTCAGAAACCCACAATTGTGGGATTATGAAATAGCTGATGGTGATTAGCTATTTTAAAATCCCACACAAATCCCACAAATTAAAAACCTAGGTTTTTAAACCAGTGATTTGAGCCAAAGTTCCACAAATTAAAAACCTGGATCCAAATGACCCATAAGAGTGGGAAACGGTGCGGTCCGAACCAGACCAGACCATAGACACGATCTGTGGTCCATATCGAGAGGTTGGAACACAGACCATGGACCAAACCATGTACTATACGGTCCAGATCAGAACACGCCTGTGCGGTGCGGTCCGGTATGGTCTTAATCAAGCATGCCATGTTAAAAAAAATCACTCTTCTTTCGCCCTCCAACCCTTCGCCTGTATCTAAAAAAATAAAAATTCAAGTAACCAATATGCTACTGAAACAAAAATTTAGTGATCGTAATTAAAATGAGAAGAAATATATGGGGGAGAGAAGTCGGTTTTTTCAATTTTCAAACTCTCTATCCAATCTCCACGGCTCTATCGAGTATCCATTAAAAAAACCACATATCAAATAGTCTTGTTTCCCTCTTCTTCTTTGTGCTACTGCTTCTCTCCCTCTCTCGGTGGTCTGAAGGTTCTAGCGATCGATCACCTTCTTGATGACTTCGAGGTCATTTTGAACCACTAAGATGGCCGCTTATCTCTCAATAATTTTCCTTGTGAATGAATTTTGTCTAGTGTTTATGTTTTTATCCACTCCATAGTCTAGACATTATCGGTGAATATTATTTATGAATCTTTCTGGTTTTTGTGTGGTTCTTTGATAAGGAGAGAACGCATAAGCGATCATTTGGGCAATCTGTTGTCTCTCAACTAGACGAAGAATCAACTAACTTTGTTCTTCAAATAGATAAATGGAGGTTTAATTTAGTGTTATTTACTTATTTTGGTATGAGTTAGTAGGTAGTGTGTCACGGTTTGTTACGGTTTACTGCGGTAGATCGTAGTCCAAAACCATTTCAGACCACACACTAAAATAGGAGACAACAAACCAGACCAAACCACAATTCTGGTCTCACGATCTAGACCAACCAATACAATATGATTTAGACCGTGGTTCCCCTTGGTCTAGAATCCCAGCCCTAATGGGATCCGTTCCTGGATATACCTATATGTGCGCTAAATTAGTTAAAGCCCATCTATAGACATACTTGGAGTAGGTCCGATCCATTGTCTCAAATCTTTCCTCGTCTCGTGTTCTCGGCTCGAAATCTCCTCCCTCCCATTCTATTATGGAGGTTCTCCATCAAAAGCCAATTAGTTCCACTTTTCCGGCCTCTTGCGCATAGTACGGATGGGTGTTTTGGTCAAATGGTTCTCACTTGGATTGGCCATAAACAAATGCAATAGATGGGCTAAGCCTCTGTTTTTCCGGGGTATTGCGCTGAGGATGGGGCTTTTGTTTTAATTTATATTGGTCATATAAGTCCAAAATTACTTCTAATTATTTCCTTCTAATCATATATTATTATATTAGTGTTTTCAAATACAATTTGAATTAGTGCTACAATGTTAAAAGTATAAATTCAATTTGTTCAAAAATATATCGATACAAACTATACCATAACGTTAAAGGACAGTTCCGTTTGTGTCATAAATGAATTTTTATGAGAAGATATATGTACAACTAAATTTGTAAAGTGACATTAAAAGTACAATTTAGTTTGCAGTAGAAAATATTTGTACGAAAAGGTATAGACACAAAATGAATTTGACTATAACGTTAAAAATATAAGTTCAATTTGTACTATACATACATTTTTTTCAAATAAAAGCATTGTAAAATTCATCTCTACATATTTATTGAAATTATTATTAGCAGTTTTGTTTTACTGTATTCATTTAGCTAATTTATAATATTGTTAGTTTATTAATATAATTTGGTGTATAAGCAAGGTTCATAACCACTTTGTTATTAGTTTTCAATTATTCATATTACATTTTTTATAATTGATATTAACTAAACATCAAATTAACTATACTAACAAAATAGTATCCATTTTGACATATTTGGAATAAAATGTATGTTATCTAGCATCATATATCATATATGATAGCATTCATGAACTATTAATTCTTCTATAATGGTACCCAATCTATGCAATAATTCCTAATCGTGTTTTCCCACCATCAATTTTTTGTTAGTTTGTTATGAAAGTGGGTCTCGCCTCCCTTACTAGACTTTAACTAAGCTTCCAATCTTCCTATCATGATACTCCCCACCTAATTCACGATTTATAAATTATAAATAAAACCACCACAGATAAAAAAAAATGACATTCATGGTAGGTTTAATTATTTTCATAGTTGACCACCATGGTTTCCTAGCCAATTTTGAAAATAAATTTTGAAGATATACAAGAAAGAAGAAACGTATTTATTGGCTAATAGTCAATGCCTACAAATTATTCATTAAGTTTTCAATCTATAAATTATCAAATTTATATGTTGGTCTATTGGTTGTTTGCATCAGGGGAAAGAAGAAATCTGATAAAATGTCCATGAGACATAAAATTCTACTAATATTTAGTGTTTTAAACATTTTACTATTAAAGATTGGCGTCTAATAAAAAAAGTAGGAACAACCTATTGTGAAAATAAATGTTTAGTTAAGGAAGAAAAATGCATTATAATTGGTGGGGATGACGGTGCTTTAGATGGTTGAGGCAGAGTGATCACATGAAATTCTAAATAAAATTTGCAATAATTCTTGACAGTGGTGAGCAAATAGTATGGTTTGATTAAACTTATAAGTGTTGATTTTATTGCATGGATTTTATTTTTACTTTCATTAATGACTTTAGTCAATAAATGTGGTTAGCATCTTGAAAATTATACCGGTATGGAATAAGACATACCTTTCTTCAAACAATTACTATGTTTATCTATACTAGTTATAGCAGCTAGGGTTTATGGAACTGGAAGAGAATAATGAAGCTAAGATAGCAGTTGTGCAGCAGTACTTTGAAGTGATAGGTGGACTGGTAAACCAAAACAATTCATAAAAAAAAAGTATATGAAACTTTTAACTTGCAATACGAAATACGACACGACATATACGTAACATAACTGCCATTTCTTTTACTATTGAACATCATTTTGAGCAAGTGATTTAAAGCACTGAATTAACACGAGAAGTATAACAAATTCATGAATGGACACCATAGATCAGTGTAATGCGATTTAAAAAAAAAGTCAAAACATAATGATGATATTAATAAGTCAATCAATAGTGAAAGACGTAGATATCGCACTTAACGATCGCGTTTCCGGTTGTAGCATTATAGGAGTGCGTTTTGAGATGAACCTTCCCACGAGCGAACCCGAAAACTCCGGTGCCGCCGATGACCGGCATCTCCCTTATCCCGGGGGCAAATATGGAGTTGCGTCCCAACACAGTGATGGTGCTTCCTCGGTGCTCATTATCGGTGGTAAACACAAAGTTGAATAACCGTGTCGTTCGAATGTAGAGGGCCTTTAGCGTTGAGATGCAGGGCCATAACGTTTGGGCCGGCAAGGAGGTTGTGGATGTGGTAGTAGAAATGGAGGTGGGTCAGCTTTGTCAAGAACCAGTTGCTCCCAATAACTCGAGTTGTTGGGAGAAGGTTCTGCTGGATCTTATACCACTCTCTAACACGTCCCCTCAAACGAAAGCCAACCCATGGGCTTGAAGTTTGCACAGGCCCACCATACCATGTGCTTGAAAGACAACGGTTAATATTGGGGGTCGTGGAGATTCGAACACATGACCTTTCGGTTCTAGGCTCTGATACCATGTCAAGAACCAGTTGCTCCCAATAACTCGAGTTGTTGGGAGAAGGTTCTGCTGGATCTTATACCACTCTCTAACAAGCTTCTCATTCTTCAACGCCATAGCTTTTGCCGACAGTTTCGTCGAGAAAGGATGCGATGACAACATTGATCTAGCCTCGGAAAGTAGAATGGTGAAGAGGAAGAGGGTGAGAATGGAGAGGAGAGAATATTGTTTAAGCAGTATTTTGGCCATGGTAGCGCAGCTGGGTACGTAAGCTAGAATGACTTGAAAGAAGTTTAAGAATGGAAGTTCTGTATAGTACTATATATAGTCTATTGACATGGAACTTGGAAGTATAGATTGCATCTATTTATAGGAAATTAGGAATAGACTATGGAAATGGGGCGGGTACGACATGATTGAATTATTCTTCTTTATGTAATTGCAAGAGAGCGCAAGTCCCAAAAGGCAGCTTAATTGTATCTATGCGCTTTGTCGTGGTGACCCTATATGATGCGATTTTGCCGTTTGAAGAAACTTGTTTGCTTTGATTTGATTTGGGGTTTGACCGAATCGCCTCGTCCCTTCTTATCAAGGAGGATATACAGAAGAAGGGCCAAACGTCCAAATCATTTCTTGCTTTGACCTCAATATATAAAAAATATCTAAAGGTCTTTGCTTTATACCACATAATTTTTCAAAATCTTTCAAAAGGCAAATAAATGTAAATTTGTGTTCGGTTATCCGGTTGTAACGGAATTTTTTTTATTCCACATAACTTTTCAAGATCTTTCAATCTACAACAAGCATTCATCTCAAAGAAATGTCGTTTGTTACCCTGAACGAGCAATTTTTTGATTTCGTCAAACTTTGGAAAACCATAACTTTTAGCTCCTCAATCCAAACTTCGTAAATTATTTTTTGATTGCGCATAACTTTTTAAGAAATACAAATTTTACTAGGAAAGAATTTTTAAAAAAAGAAATATTTTTGGGTATACGGAATTCTGGGAATAACTTTGCCTTTACTTTTCACAAATCCACATACATTCCAAAATTATGGTTATAATCAAAGTTGTACTCCTTCAAAAGTTATGCTAAATCAAAAAAAAGTTTCATGACATTCGGATTGTGGAGCACAAAGTTACGGTCTTTCAAAGTTTGTCAAAATCGAAAAATTACTCGTTCGGGGTAGCAAACGAATTTTTTTGGGATAAAGGCTTGTTGCAGATTGAAAGATCTTGAAAAGTTATGTGGGATAAAAAAAATTCGCTATAACCGGATAACCGAGCGCAAAGTTACGTTTGTTTGAAGTTTCAATGTTACGTCAGGCATTCACTGCGGCCGTCAATCGCAGTGATGCCCAAACATGTGTATTTTGGGGAAAATTTTAAAAACATGTGTATTTTGAATTTTTTTCCGTATTTATTTTAATATAGTAGAACTCAAATCATTTGAATAAATGGTTTGGTTTAATTAAACTTTTTAGTTTGTTTGGTTTAATTTCATACACTGTTAACCAATCAAATCAAGTAGACAATTAGTTATTATCTAATATTTATATAACTCATACTCGATACTTTGAATAACCACTCAATAGTCAAGTGTTCCTCCCTTTCGAATCTATAAAAAAATCTTGTAATTGTTACTATACTATATTTGCAATAGGCAATATAATTAAGCACTCCTCTCTTCAAACCCATAAAAACCTCACTAGCTTTGCTCCCGGCCATTGGCCCGGGTAATTTATTATCATTAATTATTTTCCAAGTTTCATGATCTTTCGTATGCCAAAAAAATAATGAATGCTGGATATGGGCACAGTATTAATAATTTGAGTATTTTGGCTAATTGTTAGACAAGGCAGTTATGTGGTGTATGGAGACTGGTTTGTCTGCAGTGCGGTTTGAGGGCGATGCGAAGGTCATTATTGACAAGATTAATCGCGGGGAGACAAGTGATAGCAGGTTGGGTGCTGTTTTGGAAGAGATAATTCACTACTTTCGCACCAATCCGGAGTTTAGGTTGCGATTCATTGGGCGGGGGAACAATAGGGTAGCTCATTCGGTAGCTAGGAAAGCCCTTTCTTTGCCTCCTGCTATGAGTGGCGTTTTTGATTTTCGGGCCTGGCTAGGTTCCAGGGTGTAACTATCTATGTTTTTTATTAATATAATATATCTTTTGACAAAAAAAAAAAAAAAGACAAATATGATCAACTACCAATTGTTATATATCATATAAAATTGTTATAGAAACACTAAGCGCGCATTATAAACATTCAATTTTTTAGCATAAGCATACAGAGTGTATGTTTCTATATTGAATATCTTGATTTAGGAACATGCTGATGAGATAATAAGGGTTGGGCTTTGGAGTTAGTCTGTTAAGTGTTTTGGGTTAGTATGTACGTAGTTCATGGGTTAGTCATGGGTTACGTAGTAGTAATGGGTTGTAAGAGCATGGGCCAAACATAATTAGTAGTCTAGGTATGAGTCTCCAGTACATGGTCGAGTCTGCTAATGTAGGTAGTAACTAGGGTTTCTTTATAGTTAGGGTTACGTATTAGGTTTAGTCACCTAGATATTGTAATCACGACATTAGTCCGATTTATCAATCAATCAATAAACAAAATAGGTTTTCGACACTTACGTCGTGCTCTCGCTTGTGAGTTACAAGCAAAACCCTTGAACTCGTAGGTTACGAGTTCATCACATGCATGGGTTTTGAAGTCCAACTCTAGAACCAGTAACTTTTATGAACACTTTACTCTTCAAATGTGTAGATTTGATACGGTTTATCACTTTTTGAGGTCAACATTCAAACAACCCCAAAATAAATGGTTGAGGGAAAGACATAAGAGAATATGAATAATAGAGAGAACACGAATAATTATGGGGAAATCGATCGTTCAATTTACATTATATATAAACTCATATATCTTATATATAATAGAACATTAACTAAAATGTCCCATTTTTTCTAATTTTGCCTCATCGTGCAGAATTATGACGAACAAAAGGCTCCATTTGCATCAAATCAGAAGATAAAAGGAGAACTAATTAAGCATATGCATCTCCTTTAGTTGAAACCAAGGAACGCAGGTCATTAGCCAAAGAGCAGAAGCATCAATCAGAAGATAAATGGTTGATCAGTAATGATTTCTTACGCCATGTATCAAGATCAACAATGAGCAATATCCGTACGTTCATCCTCGTTCCTGTCCAACACGTACGCAAGCAATAAGAAATACAGACTGTAACATGCGGCCAATAAGAAATGCAAACGCTAGAGTTGTATCATGACAGCAAATCATACAACTCCTAGCTAATTTACCTCTTCTCATATCTTGGCTGGGGGATGATGAACAATGGTTGACCGAAACGAGTCCCAATCAAACTCTTCATCATTTGCCAAATGACTTTCGTCACGGCATCCTCCTCCATAACTATCCCATTCAGCATCAGAATCATAATCGGGAGGAAGAGGAGGGTGTCGTGCAATTTCAGCCTTCATCGCATCAAGAAACGCTTGAGTCAGTGTCTTCTCAGACCCTGCAGTTTAAGGATTCAGGACATGAAAACCAAGTTAGCAGCAAATATCCAAATACACCACCAACACACAAAAGGGAGAAATGAATTACCCTTGTTATACTTAGCAAACAGGTTCGGACACATTGCTGCCAGCCATGGGGAGTTGTTGACTAGATCATTTTCTGTGGGCTGCACAACCAAAAGGAGGAACCAACAAAAGAAATTCAATTACTTCAATACAAACGGGGTCGAAAAACCATATGAACCTGTTGCACCAACGCTACTAGCTAGTCAGAGAGAAGGATCTCTCAACATCCTAAATGAGGTCACACCACGTACACTCTACATTTTAAAATCAACCCTTCTCTTATATATTCTTCAGTGGGATTCCTAGAACCCTAGCAAGTTGAGGGGAAAGCACAAAATGCATGCTTTTCGTTAGTTGGCTGTTTTTAAGAAGAAAACACATTTTTTAGCTAGCTGCTGGCATAAACACGAAAGGAGATTTGTATTGAAAACCAATTAATTAAAGAATGATTATGGTATAATCTGCCTGCTGCTTACTTCCGGTCGAAATGGATCAGGAAGTACAATGGAGTCCAAAAAGGCCTTCTCTGATGCCGCCCTATCATGTGAAGAGCCAGAGTTAGGGGATGTGAAGGAGGGCTCAGAGGTTGTGATCTGGGGCGGCAGCTCCTTCTTCGGCTCAACTGCGGCAGTGACATAGCTAAGTACTGTGGAAGAGGGCTCGGAGATGGCAGATATGGGTTTAGTCGATGAGGAACTACTTATCCCAGTGGTCAGTCGTAGCAGCTCCCTCCGCCGCACAACTGCAAGCATTAAGCAAATCTGGAAGATCAAATAATCAATCAAGCAGCAAGGATGGGGGAGAAGAGAACCCTAGATCCTAAAATCACGACACAGATAAAAGGGGATAATTGAATTGAATTGAATTGAAGTGAAGTGAATTGAATTACCCTTGTTCCTTTTCTTTGTCATGCTCTGCAAATTCAGGAAGGAGGAACCAACAAATTGAATTGAGAGTCTATCAGGGACAAACAGACATGCAGATCAGGTTTCGCAGCCTCTACGAAGCCAGTTCCGATCTGCCGCCAATAACAACTACAGGAAGAAATAATCGAGATCCAACGGAACAGGCGAACAGCTGCTAATGAAGATTTCTGCAGATGATCTCCTTCGAATCTTGTCCAATTGGCGGAACTAGGGTTTCTAAGATTTGCTTAATTGCCTCAAGGCTGAAACAGCAAAG